TCTTAGGGTTCCGGAGGATCCAAGAACCACACAGAGAGTGAAAAGAAGCTTCTGGAGTGTTAGCAGGTACAGAGGGAACCTGCATGCCTTGCCACTCCTCCTGACCCATGTCCTACAAAACCGCTCTTGAGCTTGGCCTCAAGCTACCCGCTCTACCTGTGTCCTCTGGTTCAAATGCTCCTCTTCCCTAAGGCCCGACCAGCGACCTCCTCCTCCAGGAAGCCATCTCCAGAGCAGACCGAGGGGGCCCACTGCCCGGCTTCCATTTCACCATCTCTTGGCTCTCCTGGTCAGACATCCAGGAGACAGCAAATGCCCTTGCCTCTGCTTCAGGGCACTCCTGCCTCCACTCTGAACTGCTTTGCAGCCAGGGAGCTCTCCTTCTGGGGGGATTCAACATGACGAATCTAGGAATGCTCACTTGTAAGAGTCTACTTTATCAATGATGACAGACTATAGTCCTGTGGGTCACTGGTGCATCTTAGGATCAGTGGAAGATCTCAAGGCCCTGAGGCGTTCTTGGATGGCAGTTTGAGTCCACCCTTGGGTGCTGGGGAAGGAAAGATCTGACCATCTGCTTCCATGACGCTTCATGCCCAGAAAACCCTAATGGAAAGTTCTACTCTGCCACACGGGGCTCCCCTGATTCAGGACCAACTTGACAGCAGCCCACAGCTGCCTGACCCAGAGTGCCACCAGGCCTCCTGTAAAGGAGATAAGGAGCGGGTAACTAATGATCGAGCGCTTCTTTGCACCCATTTTGGACTTGCAGGCTGAATTTTAAGTCAAAATGCAAATCGATTCATATCACCTCCCTGTCTGTGGCTGGCCCGTGTAAATGAAGTGTATACTTGCTGTGTCCATAGGTGAGAACATCCCTACTGTGGTTGACCCTCTACCTTGACCTGCACATATCCCTCTACTCCTGCTCGTCTTGCTTTCCCAGCCTCGCTTACCCGTGCCCCTCCATCTTCAAGAGACCAAGGGCACTCAGTCTCAGACACATTTCTCCCTGGGGGAGCTGCCAGCTTAGACCTCCACTCTGGCTCATCTAACACTGCATGGAAGGACTTCGCCCTGTCTAAGCACCCAACCGTCTCTCAAGCACAAGGGGACAGACTGCCTGCTTATCATTGGGTCCCTGGGGCCCAGGGGAGCATGGCCACTTGCACATCTGTTTCATGAGTAACTGGGTCATGTGAACATGTTCACGGAAAATGGAAGAACGGGAGGAAAAACAGAAGAAATGCCTAGAGTGAAACTGGCCAATGGCCAGCTCCTTTCCTGAATGAATAAAAAAACGTGATGGGCCCTGGACTTTCAAGCACCCGGCACAGTGAGTGCTTGGCGCGCAGTGAAGCCCCTGGTCCCAGGTGTGCTTCGGAACACAGGCCTTTTCAGATTGCAGATAGAGCATGAGGCACAGCTGCTGCAGCTCACGTGACCTACTCAGTGGGGCCCAGGGCAGCACTGGGTACAATATGTCCACAGAGAAATGTGACGAAAGAGATCAATAGAGCAAACTGCCTGTACAGCTCATGGGCCACCTATCAGTATAGACCACGTTTGGGGGCCACGAGACAATATTGTTCATAGCTCTCTTAGGGTTTAGAACGTGGCCAACACGTCATGGGCCTGTCCTTCGTCAAGGTCTATTGAATGAATGAATGAGGAAGAGATGTCTGGCCCCAGGCACGTGGCTCGTGGATGCTGGTGCCAAGAGCACAGCTCTAGGAAGCCCACGCATGCAGGCGCACACGCGTGCAGGCTCACTCACCAAGGCAGATCGTATGGCGTGGTATAGGAGAGTCTTGTTGGAGCTCTGGAAGATCTCAGGGACCTCCTTCTGCGGAGAGAGCAGCAGGGAAGCCTCTGTGGGCTCTCCTGGTTATCAGAAAGCAAGCCCATCTCCCAGGGGGTGGGTGGGCATGGCAGGGACCTGTTCTGGCCCAGGAGCACCCTCAGCAGACTGGTCTCGCTCCCATCTGAGGCAGCTGTCCTCTGGCGTTATCTGTGGTCCGTGGGGGCCCACTGGCTACTCTGTGGCCACACGTTGGCTTTGGAACCAAGCCCAGGGGAAGGCTAGAAGTTGGTGACAATAGGTCATTGTTCTCTTTTTTTAAGGCTTTTGCGTTGAAGACCCGTGAGAAGGCAGCAGTAGGAATGCCGGCCAGCGAGGGTCGAGGGTGGTAGAGAGGGATGCAGAACTCCAGGAAACTTTACGCCCAGGCCCTGGCTTAACTATCTGCACCCGTGTAAAAGGCAGAGGCTGGTGTTGATCGATGAGGTCTGATGGTATGAAACATTGACTCCTCTAATCGTTCCAGGGGAGGTGAAAAGCCGATTCCCACTGAGAGGTTCCTCCTAAACCCTAGGGTCGAGAAATCAAGGCTCCTTCTCACATTCAGAGTCCCTGGGTGATGCGAATGGTCAATGTGTTCAGCTGCTCACTGAAAGGCTGGAGGTGCGAATCCACCCAGAAGTGCCTTGGGGAAAAAGCTTGGTGAACGGCTGCCCCCAAAGGCAACCCCTGAAAGCCCTGGCTCACAGTTCTACTCTGACCTATATGGGGTCCCCCTGAAAAGGAGTCGACTCAGTAGCAACTGAGTTTTTCATTTCCCTCCATGTTCAAATGAGCCCTGCTCATAACGGTCCTCCCCGGCCCGCTGTGATCCGTCTGAGCTTATGCCCTTCATTCAACTTCTCACTCCCTGAAATCATCGCTCCCACCTCACCTTTCATCTGTCTCCGCCCTTGAGGATGTAAGCTCCCAGAAAGCTAGAACTGTGTGTCTTATGTCCTGGGGAATCCTCAGTTTCCACCAGAGTGTGGAGCCTCTAGTAAACGCTCGATGAAATGCATGGGATGAATGAGCAATTTAGGAATTTTGCCACGTGCACAACCTTAGAGAGCATTCTTGGGAGTCAAAAAATCCAGACATGGAAGTTTAGAGGACTGACGTTTCCAAAACCTATCTGAATTTCATCTTTGCCGTATGTGGTAGTTATATAATCTGGTGTCAATTTGAGACTAAAGAGTGAAGGGGTGGAGTTTAGCCAGGCAATCAGATCACAGCTTGATTACCTCATTTGGAGGCACTAAGGAGATTAAATAGCTCACTGGAGGTGAGACACACACACTCTCCCTGTGAGAAACATTCCTGTTGACAAGTCACATGGAGCTACGCTGATAAAGTCAGCCCTGGAGCTGGAGGAGCCACGTGGAGACCCACATAAGCGTTGAGATGCTTCTACCACCACTGGATCCACAAGAATTTCCACCCACTGGCCTGTGATCTTCCTGCATTACGCATCATTGCATATGTTGTATAAGTCTGAAGAGAAATTTATAGATTAGTATCAGACATATGGGCTAATATCGGCCTTATGGACTTGATCTGGACTGGACTGGGATGTTTTCTCAATATTCAATTGTTCTTGTATATAAAGCTCTTTCTTATACACATATGAGGGTCTCCCTAGATTTGTTTCTCTAGTCAACCTGGACTAACACACAGTAATAACTGTTTTTATCTGACACAACCATTTGCACTGTCTTTCATAAAAACCAAGTGGATAGAATTCACCAACTTTTTGGTACAGTGGCTCCTGTCACCATCAACCTGCATGCAGATCAAGCAAGACACTCTCTGCATGTTCCCCCAACTCTCAGTTACCCTCTTTCCACGGGAGGAAAGATTGTTACAGCCCACCAGTTAGCAGGGAGGTTGGCGAGCTTCTTACCATGGGTATCATGTAACCACATTCCTGGTTATTGACGCCAATGATGGAAGGAATGGGATGAAATGCTTTTTGAATCAATAGATCTCGAGGATCCTCAAGAAGGAAATGACCATCGATCACCCGAGTGAAAAACTTTGTTTTCTGAAATTGGGAAGAGAAGAAAACTCAGTAGCTGTTCAAACTGCTGCCAAGCGGAGCCAGCTCCACCTAGCAGTGGTCAGAATTCACTAGGAGAGGAAAACAGAACAGCTGCTGGTCCAGGCCAATGCATCAGTGCCTGGACAGCCCTGCTGCTGATGTGGGCAAGGGGACGCAACTCTCTGGGCCTGTTTGCTCATTTGCCGAATGGGTAATAACAATCATCTACCAAAGATAACAGTGCCAAGAGCAGGGCTCCTCAGATTAGGGGTCCCCGGTGGGCAGCAGCATCAGTATCACTTGGGAACTTACTGGGAATGTACTGGTAAATTCTCAGAGCCTACTCCAAGCCTACGGAATCAGAAACTCTAGGGATGCATCCCAGAGTTATCATTATTTAACAAGCCTTCTCAGTGATTCAAATGCACACTCAAGTTGGAGAACCCCTGGCTAAATTCCATGGGCCAAGTGCTGAGGGCAGAGGATGACCGGGACGGGAGGAAGTGGTGTGAACACCCTCCTGAGATATCTTCCAGGAAAGCATTTTGCCCTGAACATGACTGGATACCTCCTGAGTCTCTGAAAGCAAGACCTTGCTCCAATCACAATTTTTAAAAAATGTTCTGTTTTGTGTGTGTGGATAAGAGAGAGCACACAAGGAAGCGTTCATGATACATCAAGCCAAATACCATCTTCATAGACTCCGGCATTGGGCATCCTGCCTGGCTCGTCGCAGCCACACCCAATCCTCCTTCAGACAACTGGGGTTTTGGCATGTTCTCAGTAGTGCCAAGCCCAAAGGCTTCTTAACAGAATTTCCAGCTCTCGATCTTGATTTCGCCTACCAGAAGCATGGGGGACTAGTGTGATCGTTCTTCCCGATAAGATGCTTTCAATGACAGAGAGGTAGCTTTGCATCTTGTTGGGCGTCTCCTTGTCCCCACCAACTTCCTTAGGTTTTATATCCCACGTTGCTTTTAATAGACATTTCCATGAATCCCCGTTCCCCATCTTTTTCAAGTCCCAGAGCCAAGAAAGTAGCGGGGGGAGAAACCTTTCTCCCAACAGAAATCCTGCTCTCAAACGCTTTCTTCCCTCCTCACCTGACTCAGGCTCAGCAACTCCTCAGAGGATTTTGCCCTCAGGCACCGCAGCAGGGCCATGGAGTCTTTCCTGTTGCACCCACAGATCTGTGCGAGCAACTGCAACTATTCCAGAGAAAAACAAGATCAGACAGAGCATGGTACTGAAAGCATCCCGAAAAGGAACATTGGAGAGAGGCCTTAGTCCAACCACAGGCTCATCCTTCCGCTAGGAAGTCTAACCCACTGGCCCTCCCATCCTTGAACCTGTGATGGAACAAACACTTTGAAGGAAAGGCAGCGAGGACAGGCTGTCGCTGCATCGTTTTCAGTCTCTTGCTTGACTTTAGCAAAGCAGACCTAAGGGTGGGGAATGGCCAATCTGACTGTAGAACAGAGTCAAGATTCCTGGGTCATAGACAAATCAATGCGTTGATATTGGCTCCCCTGGCAACAGCCCTATGAAACCAAGCAGTCCAATCTTGGGTGCCAAAGGAAGCCAAGTCTAGAGAATTCCTGAGAGTGGGGACCAACATGGTCAGCTTCTTAACTGTCATTGAGACATTACTCTAGATTAGCTTCTCAACTGGTCAGCTCTGCTCAAGCCTAACTGCCCACCCCATGCCCGGACTGTCCTGGGCATCTCCTTTCTTTCTCTATTCTTTCTCTACTCATTCTTTGACTCAAATCCCACCTCTTGCAGGATGTCCTTTTAAACCATTGCAATCCCCATGAATCCATGGTCCTCTAATATCCTGTCACACCAAGGGCTCTCTTCTCAACTTAGCCCTTTAATAAAACACCTTCTCGCCCTGTCATTGAACTGCATGAGTAGAGTTGTCCCCTGAAAGTGATAGTGTTTAATCATCTTGGAATTATGGATGTTCTGGGAATTCAAAGAAAACTACAGCAGACCCTCTCTTTTGGAAAATGCACGTGCCCATAGAGTCTGTATAGAGTTGGAAGGCATTCAATGTCCACTTTCCAAACCTGCTGGTGGATGCCAAGTTATCACCTTTGTTATTACAACGATTACAGTCTCTTCGAGTTGAAGATATGCCCTTTCCACTTGTCGACCCACCAATCCTAACACAGGTCTGGGGGACATGTAGGCATTTAATAAGCGTGTGGCAGACGGAGAGTCATTTTATATGTAATGCTACTGTCATCATTATTCCCTGTGTATTGAGGATATTTTTCCCATTTTCTAAATCCATGCTTCTGCTGTTAGTATGTGTTGGTTTTCCCCTGTAAGGTATTGAAGAAAATGCACTCCTAAAGTATTAATACTAAGGCGTTGTCTCCACGACTCAGGGCTTAAGAGTGCACAGAGAATGAATCAGCTCATTCATTAATTCATTCATTCATCAAGCATGTATAGTTGCCTAATACACACTGGGGAGGTCCTCACCATCTAGTAGAAATAGGACAAGTGAGAGAAGACAAAGGAACAGATTCCCCACCTCCCTTAGACAGGCCCAACATCCATTGGTCACAGTATTCTTTCCCACTGAGCTGCAATTAGCCTCAAAATCATTCTTGGCTGACACGACAGAAAGCCACCCATGCCCTGTGGAGTAGAGTAGGTACCAGAGATGAACTATATAGAATCCTGGTGACTGAGTTATATATTACAAATGAAGATTAAGGAACAAGATGTAGAAACTGTAAAACACACACACACACACACACACACATATCCCTGTGCCTCAGCTGTGTTACAAAGGACACATAGGACCCATGTGTTGCCTGGGACCCATTTCCGGTTGAAACAGACTTCCCAGAGGGAAGCAAGGTTCGCTCTGGACCAGCATTAGGTTCTCGGGGTCTGGTCCATGAAGAAAGCCAAGCACATGAAGAAAAGGAGACAGGCAGTCTATTGACTTCCAAGAGGTGTTAACAATATACCTACATCCTGGTCCCTCTCATTAGCAGAGGCCTTCATGTAAGGAATGATGGCCACCCCACTCTCCATGATGGCTTTGTGGAATAAGCCATTGGCCATGGGAGACAGAACCTGAAGAGAGAACACAGAAAACCCAAATTACCCAAAGGACTCCCCATCTGTTACACATACCACCCATCTTTTGTGGGCAAGTTAGTTAACCTCTCTGGGCTCCAGGTCCTTCATGAACTTGGCAATCAAACATCCCAGCATGCTTGTTCTAGCTCCTTCACTTCCATGCTGGGTAATGCCAGGGAAATTGCTTACTGTCTGCATCAGTTTGCACCCTTGCCCTTGAGTCCATATCACAGGGTCTTGCTGAGGGATCAGTTGAATGAACACCGAAGAGCCATGTTCACAGACAGTACCTGGCCAAGAATAAGTTCTCGAGAAATGGTGGCCATTGTTATATCTATAGAATTGGGTGACTATAGTTCACTTTATTCATTTTGAATATCTAAAAATAACTTGACTTGTATGTCAAGTGCTATAAAGCAGAAGCTCTCTTAACTGCCTCTAAGAACTGACTTCTGAGATTAACTGGGACTCTCCGTTCTCTTCTTTAAACCTGTGAACTGATGCCCCGAAAGGCAGACCTCTCGGAGCAGTGGGTCACTCTCTACTACCTCGGAATTCTGGTCTTACCAGTTTGCCGCCAAACCTGTGTGTGTGTGTGTTTTCCGTTTCACTTGCTATTGTAATTACATAATTGAATGAAAGACATGAATCAGTCAATGTTGAGTGTAAAAAGGAAAGAAAATTATTTGCAGGGAAACAAATGTGTTGAAGACAAGTAGCTTTTTGAAAAGCTGTACAGTCAGGTATGGAGGAGATTAGATCCAATACTTGAGGGTAACGTATAGAACTCCAGGCTTGTGCTGTAGTCTGACAGCTTTGCAGCTACTTTTATGATCAGGTTCCCAAGACGAGCAATCAGAGGGCCGTGAGGGCTGAAGGTGGTTTCTGCAGGAGAGCCTGTGTTTGGACTCAGAGATGACCTGCCCATTGGGGGAGAGGAGGTCCAGTCATAGCAAACCATCCATGGAGATGTACATTTTCTGGTTTAAGTTACAAGTAAAACATTCCTATATCGGGCTGCTAACCAAAAGATCAGCGGTTCCAAACTACCCGCGGCTCCTCAGGAGGAAAATGAGGTTTCCACTCCCTTAAAGAGTTACCATCTCAGAAATCCACAGGGGCAGTTCTACCCTGTCCTATAAAGTCACCATGAGATCGGATGGACTTGAGGGCAGTGAGTGAGGTGCATCTTTGGCTCCTGAATGCTTTCACTGAGGTTTGTCGGTTAAATGAATAATAGCCCAGGGCTTCTACTCTTCCAGAGTTTTGGACACTTGTCTGCCAAGGGAATCCTACGCAGCATCCCAATTTGTAAAGCAGTTGGAAGTCTAAGCTGCTGTAGCCAGGGCAAGCTTCTAGACCTCACTTGCCTTCACAGCAGCTATAGACCATCTCCCAGCCCAAATGGCTCCAAGCACCATCTGCAAATAGTGCTCAAGTGTGTAATCCCTATGTGGACTTAGAGCATTCATTCCAACTCTCCCTATGGCAGCTGCCTAGCTAATGCAAGACCAAGCCCCTAACTCACAAGGTATGCGTGGGGCTGGAGGGGGCCCCATATGTTCATGCAACATGAAAGCACACGCCAACTTCATTGTGCTCATTTCGTGACCTCCACACTGAGGTTCATTCAAGTCACAAAGCCTAGAACTCACGAGACTGGAAACACTGATCGCCCCCGCCGACTCTCCGAAGATGGTCACAGAGCCTGGGTTCCCGCCAAAGAACTTGATGTTCTCCTGGACCCAGGTTAGGGCAGCCACCTGGTCTAGGAAGGCCCAGTTTCCTGGAGCATGCTGGTCTCCTGTGCTGTGGACAAGAGGCCGGGTGAGGATTCTCAGTGGGCCAGCATCTGCTTTCTGCAGCCCAGAAGGTTGCAGGTAGAGACAGTGGCACTGCCCTCTGAGAAGGGGCTTAGGGGTGCCAGCCTGGGGGATCTGAGAAAACTGGGCTTCTTCCTTACACTTTGATGGGATTTGGAGTTTTTTGGGGGGGATTTTGGTGACGGCTATGGCTTACCTCAGAACAAAGCACGTGCATGTACGACAACTTCAGGATATCCCTAGGGTTCTGGAAACCTGTGGGTCCCAAGAGATGGGTGTGGCCCTGAGAAGAAGCTAGTCACCCCAGCTGCCCTGAGTTAGTTAATTCTGCCAACCTGGCCAATAATCACATGTGGGGCTAATTGAAAGGCGGAGGGATAAATGGGTGGTGAGCCTCGCCTTTCTAGTTC